TACATAACAGACTAAAATAACAGCAAGGTATAAAATCTTTAACCAAGAAGTATTTTTAATTTATCAGAAAAAATTTGAGCTATTTTTATACTACGATTATAGAGTTTCAATAAAAAATTATTATAACTAAAAAAAAAAACGTACAAACTTTGCAAATATTTTTAGATTTTGAATAAAAAATACACAAAAATTTGTATAATTTTAAATGCAAAGTATATTTATTTTGTATTTAGTTTTGATTCTAAAACCCTCAATACAGGTTTACATTTGACCCTCCCTCAATGTCACACATAACTGCAAATTTTAACCAAAAATTTAAATTTTTTTTTCAAAAAAAAAAGCCTCGAGGGAGGGTATAGAGTGATCAAAAATGGCCAGGTAAAAACCTATTTTCTACATATTTGCTCTAAAATTAGCAAGATGTGTATTTATTTTTTTTGAAAATTTCCTCAAACTTATTCACCCCAATATACATATATAGAGCATATTCTGTAATTTTTAAAGTTAAAGAAAAATATCCACTTTTTTTACACTCCTGATTTTACCCAACTCAAAATGTATTTTATGTTGAGTAGTTTTCTCATAGTGTTGGAAGAGTATAGTATTCCATTATATTACATAGTATTCACATAAATGTGTAACTAAAATTAATTATTTGATTTTGGAAAAATCCCTTTAATTTTCAACAAAATGTTTTGTTTTACCATGTGAACTTTCAATATTTAATGTTGCCTATGGGTACCATTCTGACATCACATTTATTATGAATCAGTATATCAAACAGTATTAGAATAAAATATTAGTTGCATTATATTTCAAAGTTACATGGCATAATGATTGGGCTATTAAAACCTTGCCAACTTATAAATTAAAATTACATTTTTTTAAGAATAATATATCAGTTACAAACTATAAAAAAACTAATTTTAATTCTAAATTACAATATAAATAATTTTTTTTTTCTTTGTAAACCTCAGGTGTGGCGTTAGCTCACTGGGAAGTTACTATTTATATGTTTGTATTTGAACCTCTCAGTGATTGATTAATGACTACAACCATAAAACACTCACTATAAATACCAGTTTTCTTTAAAACAAAGTATTTTCTAAAATTTTATGTAAAAATTCTGTTGATTACCCTCAAACCTCTTCTTTCTATAAGGCTGATGTAGGTGTATAACTGTTTTACATTGTTTCTTGCCTAACATGATAAATGGTGTATCTTCTTGATTATACTTATGGTTTTATTTGAGCTATTTTATTAGTGGTTATGCAACTCTTCCTGTTCTTTCCAAAGGTGAATATGGCTCTTAATCTTTTTTTAATAGTTCTGAGGCCAGATATTAGCAAGTTTTCCTAACCCATTTGCAACCTTCAAAGAAATAATACCTTTAACAGCTGTAAATTATTAGGGTATTACTAGTGCCATGTTGCACATGGATATACATGCACATGGATGAACAACTTAATCTCTGATATGCTTTTGGTGTGGATTATTCAGACCACTCAAGTGACCATTCTTGTGATTTCGATTAAAAAAGCAAGACTGTGGCACTTGAAAATAGAAAGAGAAGGAACATTACGACGATGTGACAAAGGTTGAAGGTTGGCTGCAAGAGCAGGTCCAACTATGTTTACAATGCGTTTTTGCACCTCGTCTAAAAGAGAAAGGGCATAATTAGAAGATCTGCCTCAGATATGGCAACAGTATTCCATACAAGGCCAAATTTGAGATTTATAGAGATAGAGAATAGAATCCAGAGTAATAAAGTGTCGAGCTCGATAAAGAGATACAACTTTAGCAGATGCTAATTTTGCAACGGATTTGATATATGGTTTCCAAGAAAGATCGGAAGTAAGAGTAAATGACTCATCAAGCACATTACCGTTCATAAATATAGGAAGGTCTAAATTATTGAGATAACGATTGGCTGAAAAAATTGAGTTTTATCTGAATTAAAGTTCCCCAGCTACTGTGAGCCCCATGCTGTAGCAGAAGTGAGATCTATTTCAAGCTCAAATTTCCCTTCAGCAATCAGAGAGAGTTGGCTTCTTATCATGACAAGAATAAATGGTAGTATCATCAGCGAACAATGCCACCTTAAATGTGAGAATATCTAGAAGATCATTAATGTAAACTAAAGAGTATAGGGCCAAGAGTTAAACCTTAAGGAGCCCTTGAGTTTACAGAATAAGAAGAAGAGTGCTGTCCATCAAGGACAACTTTTATACTACAATTGGAAAGGAAGGATTCAATAATCTTAAAGATGTTTCCAGATACACCATAAGAAGAAAGCTCATGGAAAAGACTAGCATGCCAAACTTTATCAAACGCTTTAGAAATGTCCCGACATTTCCAAAGTGTTTGATAAAGCAATGGCGTTAACTCTCCATCTATCTAGTGTGCGATAAAACCTATCGTTTATTACTGTTACCAAATCAGCTGTAGAACGAGAAGATTTAAATCCATATTGATGATCAGAAAGTAAGTTATTAGATTCAAGATGAGAGATTAAGTGTTTGTTAATTAAAGATTCAAAAACCGTGCTTATGATAGGAATAAAACTAATGGATTGGTAGTTAGACGAATCAGATCGCTCTTCAGAATTTTTTAAAATAGGGATAACAGATGCTGCTTTCCAGCAGGCTGGAAAACAAGACTCTGATAAGCACTTGTTGAATATTTTTGAAAGGATAGACAACAGCTCCTAAGAACATTTCTGCAAGACTATAACAGGTATGCTGTCCAGACCACAAGTTGTAGAAGAGTCTAAGCAGGAAATCACTTTAGATACAGAAGCTGGAGTGATACAAATGTCAAGCAATGGATCAACCTGTTTGATGGCTATATCAGGTAGGACACAACTAGTGGAATCAAGAGATGATATTGATAAAAAGTTCCAAGCAAATAATTCAGCTTTGTCTTTAATTGAGGTGACAAAGTCTGAACTATAAAAAAGAGGTGGAATTACAGACTTGCCCTTATTATTGATATTATTAAAGATTCTCCTAAAGTCACAAGAGCCTAATTTTTGTTATGAAATACAAGATTTCGTGACCTGAGAATAGCGGGCTTTGGCGTTAAAGAAAAACTTATTACAATAGTACCTAGCAGTAATAAACAGACGTCTGTTTTCTGGAGAACTGTTTTGCTGATAGATATAAAGGTAATGGTTTTGATTGGCGATTGCAGCAGTACAAGGTGAGGAAAACCATGGAAAAGAGTGAGGCTTGACCTGGAATTATTAAGAGGGAATAAAGGATTCCATGTGAGCCAAGAAGTTAGGTAAGAATCAGATTTGTCAACAGGAAAATGAAAGATTTCTACTCAAAAGCCATTACAGAGAAAATCACGAAAAGAGTCCCAGTCAGCTTTATGGTAGTTGTAAGATGTACGGTGATAGGGGGATTCTGATGATAAAGAAGAATGAGATAATAATTTTAGAGAGATCAAACTGTAGTCAGAGGCACCTAAAGGTAAGTGTGGAGAAACTGAGCACTTACTAGGATCTGAAACAAGACATAAGTCATGTAGTGAAGGTAAATGATTGTGGTTGTCTGGAAAACGAGTTGGAAAGTTGACTATTTGAGTTAGGGATTGAGAAAAGCAAAAGTTGTTGGTTTTAATGCCTAAAGAGTCACTGACATTATAGCCAAGCCATTCAGTGTGATGAGCATTAAAGTCACCGACAACAACAATATTGGCTGATGGATAAAGAATGAGGGCTTGGTCAATTGAGTTTTCTGACTATTCTTTTCAGTGCTTAGCACCTTCTCTCTTAATCATTTTATTTTTCTTTATGCTTCTTCTTCCTTAGACTGTACTTTCTTTTTTTTGTTGTTTCCGGTCGAATTGACAAAATCCTTTTTTTTTATTTTACAGCCAATATGTGATATGGAAGTTTTTATTCCTTCTTGGTTGTTTTTTAGTGAAGCCATTATATTTTTTAGGTAAAAAATTTTACGTCTTTTAGGATCTTATAAAAATCTTATAAACAATTCATTGAAAAGGTTGTCTCCCTTTACTGTCGTTGTCGTGGTTGTCGCCATTTCCTTACTCTAGATATTAACCTATATCTCACAATTTTCTTATTTGTTTGGATTATTGCTGTCATGTTTGGGCATTCTGTCCACCATTTTTTATTCACCACTTATTTTTTAACTATTTTCTCAGTGAATAAAAAATTGAAAGCATTCTTTATAACTTGTAAGAACATTTTCTTAAACATTCCCAAGCTTTTTAAAATTATTCTGAGTTTTGGATGGGGTCTCATACAGAAATTATGATATGATTATTTCATTATCTAGAAATTCTTACTTTCATGTTTTTACTTTTTGAATTCAGATGGAAGTGAAAGTAACAAATAAGTTGTGAAGAGATCATATGTTTGAATATTGCATACAATTTTGCAGTGAAAAAAAGTGTTCAAGGTGTCAATTGTGTGTTCAATGCTATATTTAAGTTTTAAAGCTGTTTATCTATATATCTGAGGTATATATTTGTGGTATTGTTGTTAAAGTTGCATATACTTCACAATTTTCAACAAAATTTTTATATTAGGTTTCAGTACTTTATTAAGATTTTTTTAAAAAACCTGACAAATTTGAAAAAAAAGTAAAAAGATTAGACAAAGGTGTTTAGTTTTTAGCCAGCCTTTTTTAAGAAGTTTGTTGAAGTGAAAAAATTTAAATGTTTTTAAAAAGAAATAACATGAATCAATTTTTGGAGCTTAGAAAAATAGTTTTAGGCTTAAAAGTTTGTCAAATATATTAACTGAAACTCCGAATTTAATGTTTTTTAAAAGAAACATTGATCCTATATCAATTAAATGAAATTCACAAAATTTATTAAGATTCGTTAGATTTATCAAAAAATTCTTGTCAAGTATATTATTATAAATATTTTGTCTATATAAAATTATAGAAATAATGATCATTGTCCTGATGATCATGAATATAAACAAAAACATTCTCAACTAAAACTTGATTTATTTTATTTAGGTATGTCAAGGGCATCTGCTAAACTAAAAAAATTTTATCTTAAGTATTATGGGAAAATCAGTGAACTTCAGCCGCCATTAAAAGCACCTGCAAATGTTGATCTAATGCATAAATTTATTGATCTATGTATTGTTGATGCAGCGAAAACTCAAATGGATACTGTTTTTAGTGTTAAACGAAAGGAGTTTCTTGAAAAGCAAATGAGTTATACACCAATTTCATATAGTAAAGTATTTATGAAAGAAAACAATGTCATATCAATATCTGGAATAGCTGGTATTGGAAAAACATGGTTGCTTAAAAAATATTTGCTTGATTGGTCAAATGATTCAATTTGGGAAAGTGTTGAGTTTGTTTTTTATTTGGAATGCAGGAGGCTTAATCAATATGAAAATATTTCGAATATTAATGAACTAGTAAATGTTTTCTACAAAGACATTATGAATGACTTTATCATTAGTATTCATACTTCACTGTTTATAATTGATGGATTAGATGAGTTTAAATATTTTAATAAGTTATTAAATCCAAAACTGAACTATCCGATTGTTAATGTTTTAATAGAAATTCTAAAATACAAACATGTTGTTGCTAGTAGAGTTTATGCAATTGATCAATACCAAAGTATATCTACAGATCATAGTGATAAGTTAACCATTTAAATAATGGGGTTTAATGAAAATGGAATAAGCAATTATGTAGAAAATCATGTTATAGAAGAAAAAAAAAATGTTGTAGAATTGTTGTAAGATTTGTATGCAAATACTTTTTTATATTTTTTGCAAAAACACATAATCAAAAACAATGGGTTGGTATATCAAATGATGGAAATCGAAAAAAATAAGAAATATGTTTTAAACATTTGTAGAATAGCTTTTGAATTGTTTGTTAAAAATAAATTTACTTTGTCAAATGTAGAATTTTCATTATTTATCAATGAAGTTGATGGAGTTGAAGAAAGTCTTTTTGGTTTTATTAAAAGGGTTGAAACACATCTAGGCTTTTATTATCAATTTGCACATTTAACAATAATGGAGTTTTGTACATCTGTATATGCATATAATTGTATAAGCAGTAAAGAAATTATGACCAATGAAATGCTGAAGAGTTGTTTGCCAATGATTCGTGGATTAGCAAATAAAAACCAAAATAGTTTATTGAAGTTTCTTGTTAACCTGAATCCTTCATAAAACTTCCTATGACGAATCTATAATTTTGTATTATTTTTTAGGTAAGTTTTAAAACGTTGTTGCATTATTTTGAGTCATTTTATGTTATACAGGTGTTCAATAAAGTATAAAAAATAAAGAAATTGTTAATTCATTTATATTTAAATAATGTATTTCTTTAAACGGTAGATTTTGTTGCATTTTTGATCATTTTAGATTTTACGAGTTTTAAAGTTTTATCATTTGAAAGGTTTCTCTTTTTTTGAATTAAAACTTGTATTATAAATGCACAAGATGTTCGTACTTGTGTGTGTATATATATATATATATATATTATATATATATATATATATATATATATATATATATATATATATATATATATATATATATATATATATATATATATATATATATATACATGTATATATAGATATATATATATATATATATATATATATATATATATATATATACATGTATATATATATATATATATATATATATATATATATATATATATATATATAATATATATATATATATATATATATATATATATATATATATATATATATATATATATATATATATATATATATATATATATATATATATATATATATATATATATATATATATATATATATATAGGAGCTTTTTTCTCTAGTTCGATCAACCAAAACTCATTCTTGCTTGACTTGTTATTTAACAAAGTCTCATTTTTTTACTGTATCTGTCTCCTTATGCTCCAAAAACATTTATTTGTCTAGCTTATTTCACAGCACTTCAACCCTTAGGAACTCCTATCTGGTTTTCTTGACTTATACAACCTTCAACTTTTTAAGTCTTCTGTCAACCGTTTCCTTGAAAATCATTAAAGGTGGCTGATGCCGATATTGATTCCCATTGTGCAAAAAATGGCCAATAAAGCAGATGCCGATGTCGATTAATTCGTACATCACTAATTTATATATATAGTAATGGGATTATTTTATTGTCAAAAAAAATCTATTTAATTCTGATTTTTCTTTTTTTAAGAGTCATTCAAGAGGTAGACAAGTAAAGTTTCTGAAATTTATTTGTAAATTCTGAATTATGTTAATTTGAGTTTGTTTCACTCTCTTTTAATCTTTGTGGTGTATGATGTACTCTGTATCTCTACTGTAGAGTTGTAGAGATACAGAGTACGTTATATATGTATGTATGTATGTATGTATGTATGTATGTATGTATGTATGTATGTATGTATGTATGTATGTATGTATGTATGTATGTATGTATGTATTTATGTATGTATGTAATGTATGTATGTAATGTATGTATGTATGTATGTATGTATGTATCTATGTATGTATGTACAATATGTATCTCTACTGCATCTCTGTTGTTACTAGAGTTACAGAGTACAATGTACTCTGTAACTCTACAGTTTTTAAGTTTCAATTCTAAAAATATAAAAAAATTGTTGTTTAGCAAGACGTTTGATATTTTTGACTGATTTTGAAGTGATGGGAAAAAGAAAAGAATTGAGCCCTAGAAAAAAATAAAAAAAAACAAATCTGTGTTTTTTTGGAGATTAGTAGCCTAAAACAAAAGGAGATCACTATAAAATGGAAGGTTTCAACACAGTGAAAAGGAAGCTGGACGAGGGTAGAAACTTTTAGTGCAGTGAAAAGGAAGCTGGATGAGGGTAGAAATGTTGAGAATGAAAATGCGGTCGTAAAAGAAAAGTAATGGCCCTCAGAGATAGAAGAAGTTCTTGCAAAAAGACCTCTATGGAATTAACAAATCAAGGTATTAATGTAAGCCGTAAAATAGTGAATAATGGCTTGTTGGAGCAGGAACTGAAGGCATACAAACCAAGAAAAAAACCAAAACTTTCAAACAAAATGAAGCATATCAGGCATGGGTGGGCCATTGAACATGAAACTTAGACACAAGATGATTGATCAAAGGTAATCAATAGTTTAGTTTCATCATAATTTCTGACTAATATCAGTAGATGTTAACTTGTTTATCACGACTATTAATGTAATGTTTGTACCATAATTTCTTTGAAATTTATCAGACATTTTTTTTGTTCAGGTAGTATTTTCAGATGTGTCAACAATTGCTGTGTTGGATGATAAAATCCAGACAGTCAGAAGAAGGCCTGAAAATTAGTTTAAGCCTGAGTGTCTTAAAAAAGCAATGAAGTTCCCTACTAAGATCATAATGTGGGGAGGGATCTCCTTCTTTGGAACAAGCTGTCTACATAAATTGTGGAAGGAATGATGAACAAGAGAAAGTATATAGAGGTGTTAGAGAAACATTTGGTCCCTCAAGTCAGAGACTGGTTCACTGATAAGAATTTTATATTTCAACATGATTTTGCTCCTTGCCATATAGGCAAGTTGTCAATGAGATGGTTCCGAGACAATGGATTTTCTGTACTTGATTGGCTGGGAATTTACCAGATATAAATCCAATTGAGAATTTATAGGACATTTTGAAGGTTGAAATATACAAAGTTCCAATTACTATAAAAGCATGGCTTATAGAGAGGTTAATCCATGTCTGGTTCCACAGCAATAAAATTACCAGTTATGTCATAATTTAATCATAGATATGCCCAAGAGAGTGAAAGCATTGAAGGCTGCCAAATGTGGTCAAACCAAGTATTAAAAACTTTGATATACCTGGAATATATAATCTGTAACTTTATTTTTGTGTTATGATTATTTTTGAAATAAAAAACTTGTTTTTTATATATATATATATATATATATATATATATATATATATATATATATATATATATATATATATATATGTATACATATATATCTATATATATCTATATATATCTATATATATATATATATATATATATATATATATATATATATATATATATATATATATATATATATATATATATATATATATATATATATATATATATATATATATATATATATAATATATATATATATATATATATATATATACATATATATATATATATATATATATATATATACATATATATATATATATATATTAGTGATGTGCCGGGTACCCGGTTCGGACCCGGGGACCCGGCAATTCGGCTGTTTTACCGGGTACCCGGTATCGGCCATTTTGTTGCAGTACCCGGTACCGGGTATCTTCAAATTGATTTTTCCTTAATTTTAAACTTTAACCATTAAACTTCTTGATATAAGTCTAAAAATGATATGTAGTCGATAACCACAAAGTTCTATTAACTTAAAACACTCTCACTTAAAATATTTTTTAATACATTTTTGCAAAAAAATTTATACGGATACAAAAACTGTAACGTTAAGTGAAATAATTCGAGAATACGAATAGAAAGAATGGGAAAAAAAGTTTTAGAATAGCTTCTTTTTATTCTGTTAGAACACACGATAGTTTTTAGCAATTTAGTTTTGAATGAAACGCTTATAATTCTTTCGAACGCTGAAATCACTTTTCATTCGTATTGAGCAAAAATCATAAAAGTAGAGATATAAGGTAAATTTTATACACATTTTTTACATTTTAATTTCGATAATAATTATAACAAAATATTATTTAGGCCCGCCCCACCAGGAAAGAAAAATAATTTTAAACTAAATATAGTTAGTAAAAAACTGTTGCACAACTTTTGAAAAAAGTTAGGCCCTACAACTCAGGCCCCTTACCCTGTATTGCGGGGCTTTACTAAATGGTACTTCGCCACATAACTTTTGGTTAGTTAGCGTAAAAAGCGTATTTTGTGTGAATAGTTCAGCGCTAGAGATTTCACAAGATTTTATTCCAAATTTTTAAAAATGGACTCGGTGCCGAGTACCCGGACTCGGACCCAGTTTTTTCAGCCGGGTACTCGGAATCGGAGACTCGGCATAAACTGGTTCCGGCACATCTCTAATATATATATATATATATATATATATATATATATATATATATATATATATATATATATATATATATATATATATATATATATATATATATATATATATATATCATATATATATATATATATATATATATATATATATATATATAGTATATATATATATATATATATATATATATATATATATATATATATATATATATATATATATATATATATATATATATATATATATATATATATATATATATATATATATATATATATATATATATATATATATATATATATATATATATATATATATATATATATATATATATATATATATGAACGAAGAACAATTAGAGTAACAAATTTAATTTTTTTTAGTTATTGCCCTTTTATTGTCGCCCTGGGCTCATACTTTGTCTGCCTGAAGTGACTAATTAAAAACTATTGGAGTCTTGAGTTATTGGAATTTTAAAAAACACCACACATTGGCAGAACAATCAGAGTCCAATGTTTACAGCGACAAAACGATAAAGCAAGTTTTAGCTGGCTTTTTTTCTATCACATGAAATGTTCAAGCCAATCCCATGCT